TAGGGTGAAATTTAGAAATTTCGCCTCTAGGAAAAAAAAAGTCATATGACAGGAAATTGGGAAGTAGAAAAGGAAAAATAAATAATTTAGAAAGAAAAAATGTCACCCATTTATTTTTCTTCCCCAGAAGAATAGAATGTCATAATTTTTCATTTGAAAAATTTTGAACAAATTATAGGCTAATGTGAATACCTGGGATGCCTACATGTTGACTAACAACCCATTTACTTCAGACTAGAGGCTGGATGCACAAAATTCATGCAAGTGTAGGCCTTGCTTCCCCCAACTGCCAGCACCGGCTTCCCTCTGGCACCCAGGACCCGGGCTTCCCTCTAACCACCAGCCCCGGTTTCATCCAGAAGGTCATCCGGAAGAACATCTTGTCTAATTAGCATATTACACTTTTATTATTATAGATGGTATGAGAACTCAGTACATTATATATTAAGCAAATAAGCAAAGGATGTATATAAACCTTAAGTATCTGGGTGGGTGTTTGTTTTTTTAAATCATTGGAAATATTTTAACACTAAATGCTACATATTTATGCCTTCTCTTAGAAAAGAGAAATATTCTTGTATCTTCCAACCCAAACCAAGGGCCTGAAGTGGATGGAGTGCGTGTCCAGGATTCTAGCAGAATGCATAACTCAAGCATATGAAAACCCTAAGCCATGTAGAGCTTCTAAAGGATTTCAGTGCTTTCCTATCATAAAGGTGCCTCTAATGGTTTCTGAATCATGTAGGACAGTTTCTGGAAACATTAAATGCCTCTCTGAATCTTGGCTTTCCTTGTTATTTCTAACAAATCTTCCATGTTTTGTCTATCTGTCGCTTCTTGTTGAGGTGACTGTAGCAGCATCTTCCTACCAGCTTCTCATCTACCCTTTTTAAGAACAAATACACATCTTTTTAAAGAAAGAACTTGATGTCTTACACTAGTTAAAATGCCTCTCACTTTAGAAAATAGATAGTTTAAGGAAGGTTGTGCCATATTTTTAATTAAGTAGTAAAATTTGTGACTTTGTGGTATCTATTTCCTGTGCTGTTCAGATATGTTTTTCTCTTCCTTTAGAGACTGTAGCTTTTTCATATGGCTATGGGTAGCAGTAATTGACCTCTAAATAATTCAGCTGTTATATTTTAAGACGGCACAATAAAGCAAAAGACAAATTCTTCTTTGGCCTCAGCTCCCCCATAGACTGGACCCCTCACTGCTTTGATCCTCCTGGCTTTTTGGTTATGGTGATAAGTAAAAGACATGAAGTGTGGAAAGTGCTTTCTATAAGTTGTTTTTAGAGTGACTGTTATTATGATGGCTTAAAACCATGTGCTTTCAAGGAAGAAGTTAACTTTCTATCTAAGAAAATACTTTAATTCTGCAGAATGTTTTAAAGGACAGCGTAAAAGCATAACTAGGTAAGAATAGAGAACACAACGCTAAAAGCAATGACAGGATCTAATGAATGCCATTTCTACTTCCATTCTTCTCAGGGATGATGGGATTGAATTGGGGTGGGCTCTGAGGAACTGACTCTGTTGTGAAACTGCTGACAGACATTACATTATATCTCAATATAGACATCTTACATGTTTAACTGATTTACTCCATGCCGGGTAACAAGAGATGTAACTAACTGTTTTCCATCTTTAGTCTCATCAAAGTAAAAGGGAATCATAGAAAACAAAAGCATGAAATAAAGTTCTCAGATATGAAAAGCACATCCTTCAGTGAAAGCATGAAAGACTAAGGATTGCTCGTTATGGAAGGTCTATAATCCCACCAAAAATAAGACATGATCTGTGTTTTGTGAAAAGAAGAGGTATATTTGATGATTTTGTAAGACCTTATATAACCATCATGCTTTATTGCATGAAATAACATTCATGTTTATTGCATAAATGTTTATGCAATATCCTTACATTATCAAAATGAGAAAATATAGAAACACAGAAAGATACTACTCCACGCAGGCCTTCCTTTTAATAAATTGCATCATAATACAAACTGCATTTGTTAATCATTGGCTTGTCTTCTGAGGATTTATTTGAGTCATCAAGATTGGAAGATCTGATTGCTCATGATGAATCTCTGCTAGCCTTTCTTGATTATTTTCTAAATTTGATGACAAACACTGCAACATGTCTCAGCCAATTAGGCTTGTCAGCTTCCAATGTGGTCCCCAATCAAGAGTCTGACTTTGGAAATGACAGGAGAACCTTATTAAAAGGCATGCTTGCTGGATAGAGAGGTGGCAGCCCGCATTCAGGGCTGATGGCAGAGGAGACAAGCTGCCTCTCATTAAAAGCAATAGCGGAAGTCAATGTTAGAAGGAAGGATTCTGGACTACGGAGTAAATGCTAAGGGAAGGCACTGAAGGGTATCTCACTTCTAGTTGATTGGAAATTGAGTCAACCTAAATGAATATAATTTCTCATGAGTACAGGGACTTCAAGTACATATGTTCAACAACAGGGTAAGAAGAGTTGATAGCATATTAACAACGGGAGGAGATGTCTCTGAATCCATCTCAAAGGAAGGAAAAACATGAGGTGATGTGAATTTCAAACTGTAACACATATTAATGCCCAAAGCAGCAAGTGCAGTGACACACTGTATGAGAAGTAAGTGAACTTAGAGACATGGCTGTAGACCATTGTGGGTCCTTTCTATGGGAGATGACCCAGAGATTTGTTCCTATTTTGGTAGCTAAATTTCTTGGTAGGCATTATCAGAAAAGCAGGGGGAAACGTTTTAACTCATTAAAATAGTGAGGAAAAAAAGGAATGTTTAAAGTAAAAAAGTAGTCTGATCTTACACTTTGTATTTGCATAAGGCTCTTTCTTTCTTTCTTTCTTTCTTTCTTTCTTTCTTTCTTTCTTTCTTTCTTTCTTTCTTTCTTTCTTTCTTTCTTTCTTTCTTTCTTTCTTTCCTGTTTCAAAGCATTTAGGTTAGCTTCCGATAAACAAAGTAACCCAAGATGGAACTATTCTCTAAGAACTCAGTTTGCTCATCTAAACTAACTAGATCACAAAAAAAATTCATAAAATTTGTCAATACTTTGATTTTTTTCAAAATGCATCTAAAATATGTGTTTGAGAGACAAATGGAATTTAGCACAAGGAAATGAATAAGAAAGTGCTTTGTCATTGGATGATACAATGAATAGGATCCGCCCACTTAGAAGTCCAATAGCAGTTATGTGCAGCTATCAAATATAATTATCATTGCATTTTACCTTTGGGAGTAGTCTAGATTTCCTTTGGAGAACACTGGCATTTCTTTGTGGAACTCTCAGCACAATATAAAAATTTCGGGCCACAGTGGTTCAAAAATCAATGGGCTGACAAACATCAAGATTTCAGTTATCCATCTCAGAAGGAAAAAATTGCTTGCAACACTGGACTGCCTTATACAGGAGATTTGGCGTAGTAACACTTGTAAAAATTCTATACAAACGATTGCCAAAATAGGAGTATAATGTTAAACTACAGGGGGTGGTGTGGAGAGAGAAAAGCAAAAAATACAAATATATTTGGGATAATTTATGCAACTTCCTCTTCTATTTTAAACTGAAGCTACAGGGATTATGTATATTTAAATCTCACTAATTTCATTTGTGTGAATATATTTGCAGCGGTAAAAAATCATCAGTCTTTTAAGACCCAAGCCTTGTAACAAAGTGATATGGTATGGTATAAATCAGAGCAATCATGTTAGGTTTGTCTGTTTGACAACAAAATAAACTATAAAATATATTAAATAAAACCCCAGGTTATTTTCTTAGAATCTGTTGGGTAGAGCAGGTTTTATTCTCTTTCTCTCTCTCATTCTCTCTTTCTCAAACAAAAACAAAGTCTGTTAAAAATTACATATATATATATATATATATATATATATATATATATATATATATTTGTAATAGTAAAAATATTGGAGAATAAAATAATATTGGAAAATAATAGTAAAAATAGTAAAAATATTGGAGAATAAAAATCCATAATTATTCTCCAAAGACAGACACACATAATGATTTTAATTACACGTATATGTAATTCTTAACTGCCATCTTTAATCCTAATTCCTAAGTACTCTCTAGATATGATTTAGCCTTATAGAAAGAGAAGACATTTTCCATTTCACTAGGCAACAATACCATTAATTAGGAGTACATGCTATCTCATCAAAACTCTAAGAGCTTGACTATATATACCCAGTACATTGCATTTCACATAATATTTCATTTAGCAAACACCTTTACAAATGTATTGCTGTGTGAACACTAAGAGGATTTTCCTACAGCACGTTTATATTGCGTATATTAGGTCATTTGAAATGGTGGGGGTGGGGGATTGGTGGGCTAGGGTGGGAGAAGTGGTGATATTGTTAGTATGCTCACACCCATAACCTACTTGTACCTGGATTTTCACTTTTTTACAACATCATGCGCTGTCAATTCAGGTTCTACTTCTGAGTCACCCTGATGTTTTAAAATGTATTTTAAATTTAAGGTTTTGCATATTTGCATTCTATGAATAATGCATAAGCAGGAAGGAATCCATTTGGCAAAAGTGCACGATTCCTGGGATAATTTATAAATACAGAATATTATATATTTGGATTTAATAACTTTCCTTATGCGTGTAGAAAATGTATATCTATACAAATACCCATTTGTACTTTATTTCTATCCCTGTCCTGTTGCAGATGCGGGAATGTCTGTCTCTTCCACACAATTAAATTGATCAGTTTTTGCAAAACCTTATCTTTAATGGACATGAAATGAAAACTGTTTTGTGGGACAATGAACTGCAGGGTGTTTAAAGAAGGGAACTAATATGGTACAGACTGTATGTATGTATGTATGTATGTGTATATATGTATTCATTCATTTATTCATTCATCCATCCTTGTATATATTCTCCTTCCAATTGCATACAGATCAGGAAAGGCTGTAGAGGAAGGCCCAACTTTAATGGCTCCTTGTCCTTGAATTTCAGATTCAAGACCTCTTCCAGATGTAGCCCTGACTGGGAAGTGCACCCGTGAGTGTGATGAGTACGGCCACTCGGACTCCTGCTGGATGCCCGTCCGCACTTCCCCAGAGAGGAAGAAGAGCCAGCCCAAACTCTCCACCTTCATGCCCGTGGATGAACGAGGGAGCCAGGAGAAGCTGGCCAATGGCGAGGCCGCCCTCATGGGCGACCGCAACAGAAACCTCCTGAACAAAAAGTTGACCTCGTCCTACGAGACCTTCAGCGCAGCTAGTTTCAGCAAAAATGAGGAAGCCAACCCTGAGGATATTCCCCTCACCAAAACAGGGGAGTACAAGCCATCTCCTGTCAATACCCTCACTAGAAGAGAAGTGTACCTGTAGGCGCTAAAGAGGCCATAGCAAAGTTCTCTTCACAGGAGGAGAATGAGGGGCAAGGAACCTCCCTGACAGAGCAAAACCGGTTCATTCAAACACAGGGGGCTACCAAAGAGACAAAGCTCTGCCTGCCACTCCCGCCTCCTGGTCAGGCCTCTAGTGATACTCTTAGCCTGGCTGTAATGTACAATGTAGAAACCATCCTTGTTCCTTGCATGTCCGACCCCCTCACTGATTCCCAACACCTGCTCACCCTCTTCCCCACCACCCTCCAAAAGAAAAAAAAGAAAAAAAAAAAGATGGTTGCAAGTTTCTTAATTGGTAATAAGCCTGATTAGCAGAACACAACACACTCCCATTATCCTTAAGCTGAAGCATGATTTTAGTCACTTTGATTTAGTCTGACTGTCATCTGACTGGTCAAAATAGGTAGGAGAAGGAAATATAGATTTTAAACATAATATCAGAATCGGATTAATCCCTGGGATAGGCAGTCTCTCAAAAATGAAGGCATAGTATTATGAATGGGCTCTCAAAGAGAAAATCACACAGCTTTCAAATTCCATCAGAGACCGAGAGCTAAACAATCTCCAGTCAGAGATTGCAGTCCCAAAGTCAGCCTATGCTGTTCTTTTCAAGCCAGGAACGTCAACTTCAGTTCCATACCTTCACTAGATATTTTAATCATATACACAGTCTTGACCACATGTGTCAATGACACTAATTATAATTTGTAAACATTAGAGGTATATTTTTCAGAAAAGCATCAGTAATATCAAGGAACTGGAACAATTATGTCATGAAAAGGCCAAAGATAGTACGGCAGATCAGGGAATTCATGAAGTAGATTTGGTCTAGACTTGGAAATCCGTTAAGCAACAAAAGCAACTGAACCCATTCTCACACAGAAACACTCCAACACTCATTTATTTGACACTGTCTCCAGCCCCAGAAAACATGCATTGCCCTTCTAAAATGGATTTTCTTTGAAGGTTCAAAAGTGAAAATTAATGAGACGCAGTTTTGATATTATAATAGGCAATTAGTTGAAGTTCAGGTTTAGTTTCAAAATACATGATCAGGGAAGATTCTACTTCTTCAAATCATATTTGTGGGTAGGGAGGGAAAGAAAGATACATTGGCATGCAGCCTGGTGAATTTAGTTCACTATCATCATTTTGGAAGATGGGTTATGCTTGCTGGTCTTAATTAGCAACATTTCAAAATACCAATTGCACTTTTTATGTGTTCAGTGCACATTTTTATATAACATAAGTGCATTAATTTTGAATCCTGTGTAGTATCACACTAGTTTGAGACTGCCAACATTGAAACAAGATGATACCCTAATTGACTTTGTCACTAATGTGATTTGAACTTAATATGTGTCTTAAAACAAATCTAGGCTGCACATGGAACAGATGAGTTCTGGACAGCAACATGACTCACATTATGTACATCTCAAGTTGAAAAAATATGCCATTTTTTTTTCTCAATGTAATATAAAGAAACAGAATATGCAGATTTTTGAGTCCCTTGCTCTATAGAGGATGATTTCATGCAATTGGACATTGAGCTGGGGCTCAATTCAGACAGAAGTGACAATCTAGGGACAGAATAGGGGACCACAGGGCAGGAGAGCTAAGTCCCCATCACTGAATGTCTGTAATCTGGTTAAGGCATAGCCTTGATGGCTCTCTAGCCAACTGTAGGAACAGAGTAGCTGTGGTAGTTTCATGCTTTGCAGAATTTCTTAGACTATAAAGTGAAGCAGCCTGGAGTACAGGTTGTTCATTCACTAGAGGTCATCCAAATGCTTCTCTTTGAATATCACTTCTCTGTTTGGTGGGGTGTTGTTTTGGGGTCATTTCCTTATGATCTTTTTTTTTAAATGAAGTTTTTATGTTGATGTTAGCTTGTGTATAATAGGATGAAAGAGGGTATGTAATTGAAACAAAACTTTAGACTAAAATATCAATAATTGAACATGGTGATGTTTGATTATTATTTACATTATGGAGAGATGCAATTCTAGTAATTTGTTAGGAAGCTGCATTGAAGCAGTTCTGCCTTGTATAATCTGTAAGTACCTATTAAGACAAAATACTTCTAAAGATACTTATGAAATGTATACATATTTTTCTTGCACGTTACAAAGGAAATAATTGCATAACACAGGTGATCAACAGACTTTTTAAATGCATTTTTTTTCTTTCTTTCTATCATGAGACACTTGAAACCATTAGATAGCTCATTTCACTCTATCTTACAACCAATCTGTTGTCTATGAAGCTAATACGGGTCATACTGGACCTTCAGATTAATAGGATTCATATTCCCCAATGACATTTGCACTACCTTCAGAACAGCTATGTCATTGTCATTTAACTTGTGAGTCTCTCTTTAGAACTAAAATGGGTGTGAAAGAATAAAATTCCATGTACTGTAAGTATTCGCAGTAATTCTAGTAGAATTAGCTATCATAACATGTTTATTATACAATGAGCTGGCATGACACAGAAATATATTTTGTGTTTGTATGACTTTTATTTTGAATAGGTTAAATATGGTGCCACTCCATATATAGAGTGCTTTTGAAAAAAAAATTTAAAAAGGAAACAAAAAATAAATAAATGAGTGAATGCAAAATAAGCAACTGTGCCTTTTATACCTGTTGTTATGGTAAAAAAACAAAACAAACGGTTGTTGGGTTTGGACAATGAGGGGAAATGGGCTATTCCCAACTTTTTTGATCCTGTATATTTATCCATGTTTATTTTCTGAAAATATTAAATAATATATTAAAAATTTGCCTTCTGACAAACTCAGATAATGGGCCAGTCTTAGCTATCGTTCATCCATCCAACAAAATTAAGGTGTTACTGTGCACTGCTTATTTCTGACTAGAAGGCTAAAGCATTTATTGTCATAGTAACACAGGAAGATGTTATCAGGGGTGAAGTCAGTCCATCTTGTGAGATAAAATATTGATTTCGAATTTCTATTCTTGATTTCCTTTCTGTTGTTATTTTTCTGTCAGCTGCTGTTTGGTTTCGGTTATACAGGATATCAACCATACTTGTTTTCTGTACACAAGGATCTCAAGCGAACTCTGCATGCACTATACATTAGGACACACTTATAAATTAACGAGTAACTATATAAATTTATGTGTTTTAAAACGTCTGTAGCTTTGATCTGAAACCATTCTGAACCTCCAGATAACATTTCTGTATGGTTTGTGACTGGCCTGCTGCCTGAGTTTCAGAACACGAGGGAGGCATTATTTTTATGGAAAGAGGAACTCAGATGGGACTGACCGTGTCTGGCTGAGACCCACTCTAGGAAGCTGATTTATATGAGACTAGGAAAGTAAAACACACACAGCAGAAGGAACTGCCAAGAATCCAACAGCCATTCTGAAATAGTCATGAGAAACCTCAAGACCTAAGTAGTTTTCCGTCTACTGTTACCAGTGATAAATGTATACTGGGTCCTTCAGGGGGTACATAAAACTCGAAGCTGGTCATGAATAGCGTGAAGCTGGTCGTTGTGACCCAGGCAGAGGTGTATGTAACATCTGGAGGAAGGCATCATTTCCCCAGCTACCTAAGGTTTACTTTCAGAGGACTTTTGCCTACATTTTAAAGCACTTACATTCAGTGTGGTACGATCTGTTTGTAATGTTCATCATTGACTATTGTTCTGCTACTTGGATGTTGATAGTGAAGCAAAGAACAATTTATCATCGTTTATTATGAGTCACTATGCACGCAACTATGCTACCCATGGCGAAATGTATTAAAACAGTCGTCCAACTATTTATGAGATACTTTACATAACTTAATTTGCTTTTGTACAGTTTTGTGTAAATAAATTGCTTGTCATTTTTGTCTCTGCAAATTAAAATATAACATGGTCAAATGGTTCCACCCTTGTAAGTGTGCTTCTCTGTTGACAGCGAGTTCAGTTTTGATTGGACGAGCAGTGAGTGGATGTATGTCCCACTTTGCTTTAAAATGGCTTATTTTCTGCTGAATTAAGATACAGTCAGGAAAATAATGCTGTAGCAATTGTTTATTTGGGGTCAGGTGCATAACTGTCTTATTTCTTTGCCTTATAATGGATGGAATTCTTCAATCTCATCAAAATAATTCCTGAGACAGCTAGCTGATTTATAAATCATAAATGTAGAACTTATTATCATTAAGACTGATTTTTTCAGAGAATTTTCACATTTAAGATAAAGGTAATTCTAAGTCAAAATGTAACTCTGTAAAGGCAATGTTTGTGTTTTTGTTTTTTGTTTTTCATTTACAGCAATGACAAATTTAAAAAACTTAGAGACTTAAAACAAAATTTATGTCATGTGAGCTGTAGAGAAAAAAAAAACAAGCAAAAAATAGAACATTTACCTTGCTCATTTTTCTTTAATTGAGCTTTCTTTACTTGTTATATTTTTTAATGATTTTTTTCTTTCTTTTTTAGTTATTCTATTAGTTCTTTGTTATCAGATTATGCACCTAATTATAATGATTCTCTTCTTTGTGCATGAAATTAGTATCTGGTTAAGCAAGCAACTTTTCTTCTCTCACCGCAACTCAAAAATTTAAAGAAGAAAAAGCATTTTCTATTCAGGGTGGAGCAAATGTAGGTTTACAGTTGTTTATATGAAAATTATATAATAATAAATAATAGTACAAGAATAAACTTTTATAGTCACAACTGTAAACCATTTTGCTCTCCCCCACCATAGGAATCAATCATATGGGATTTTTGTGTCATCTCACAACAGTACTGTTAAAATAGACTAATGTGAAAAAATAGACATTCTGAGGACACTTGCCTTGAAGTTTCCCTACCATTCTTTCCATCTTGGATAAAAACTCAAAATAATTTATATAGACGTGCATACTCTTTCTTAAATCAAATGTGTCCTTACAAATTGAATTTGGCTCCAGCCTTTGAAAGTCAGCCTGACACCCTGACTGGGCAGCTCAGTCTAT